TATATATATATATATATATATATATATATATATATATATATATATATATATATATATATATATATAAATTAAGTATATACATATATATACATACATATATACATATATATATATATATATATATATATATATATATATATATATATATATATATATATATATATATATATATATATATATATATATATATATATATATATATATAAATTAAGTAAATACATATATATACATATATTTATATATATATATATATATGTATATATATATATATATTAAAATAAGTGATTTTCTACTAATTTGTAATTGCTCTGTTCTTTTAAGAACATTGAGCACTCTTTTTGTAGAACACATTTTAAATTGTTTAAATATATATATATATATATATATATATATATATATATATATATATATATATATATATATATATATATATATATATATATATATATATATATATACACACAAAATAGAATACTCAGTGCTGTTAAAAGAACAGAGCAATAGTAAATTAGTAAAAAATCACATATAAAACTTTTTTTATTTTACATTGTGTTTCATCGTTTAGGATTTCTGATGATTCTTAATTAATGAAACACTGTGTTAAGTGAAAAAAGTTTGATAAGTGATTTTCTACTAATTTATATAAATATATATATATATATATATATATATATATATATATATATATATATATATATATATATATATATATATATATATATATATATATATATATATATATATATATATATATATATATATATATATATATATATATATATATAGAGTAATAAATAATTATTATTAGTAATAATAAAATTATCCTTAACAAACATTATAACTTAAAAAACTCTAAAATAAAACTGAACCAAAACTTAAAAAAAATTTATGCATAAACTTTTTAACAAATTAAATATTTTTTATATTTCAAAAAGGCAATATTTAAAGCATTCAACAAACATGCTTTTATTAATAATTGGTGCATTAAACTGATATAAAAAAAATTCATTTTGCCTTTTTATTTTTCAATTAAAATATTAATTTAACATTGTGTGAAAAATTTCTAGGTCACAAAAAATACTGAAACTATTAACTTTGAAAAATATTAGAAATTTTAAAGTTTTTTTTTATTCTTTCTTGTTATTTTTTAAAAATAAAATATTCTTATTTTTATAAAATCTATACATTTTTCATGATCAAATCTGAGTGCTCATTATAAAGCTTAGCACCACACTTAAGTTATTTTCCTGTGAAGCCATCTCTTGGGAATTCTAAGAATGATGTCCAGAGTCAAAGTGGTTAATTTAGTCAGAGTGACTAAGTTTTAAAAAAAGTAGGAAAACTGCCCATATTTTTAAAAACTTGTCAACAACACTAATCAATATCTCAAATGGACCAAATATTCATCCTTTTAAAAATGCAATTAATGTAGAATACAGAGAAAAAATCACAATTAATGTAGAATACAGAGCAAAAATCACAATTAATGTAGAATACAGAGCAAAAGTCACAATTAATCTTAGATGGACATTATGTAAATAAATTGAACAGTGAAAATAACATGAACATAACATAATATTAAATCATAGTTTTAATAAAAAATAACATAATATAACTGAAAACAATATTTGTTTAAGAAATCAAAATACGTTTTACCTACAAATATAACTGTATTAAATGATTTATTTAAAAATAATACCGTTCTCATAAACAAAGTAGGAATTGGTGATATTTCCATAAGTTGTTGTATAACAACTGCAAGAACTTCTTGAGTATAAATTTGTTTTTCACAGAAACATATGTTGATAGCTAAATATTTAAAGAAGTATATAATTTATGAATGTGTTATGTTCAAAATAAAAAAAAATTATTTGTGAAATTAAAAGTACCTTTCATGATAGCCTTAACATCACTATTTGTGAAATTAAAATTACCTTTCATGATAGCCTTAACATCACTATTTGATTCAATGGTATGCAAAGCAACAAGAAGTTCTGCTGGAGACAACGGCGGGTTCAAAGGAATTGCTGACTCAGCTAATAAATTAAATAAGTAATACAAAATTTCTAGCTGAGGAAAAACTCAAGTTTATTTGTCAATTAGTTTACAATTTTCTAAGAAAAGTGAACCTTACTTTGAAATGAGCCCAATAGTCTGTTAAAAACTTCTTTAACAACATTAGGAGACTGTGAGATTAACTGAGGCAAAACATTGATGACTTCAGCCTTGTTTAGGCCATTCAATACTGGTATAAGGAAGCGAACATCAGATACACGCTTTTGATAAAGTTCTTTGACCTTCTGGACAAGCTCAGGTGTAGGAGGGCCTAAACATAAATAAAAAAAAGCCTTTTTTAAAAATTGTCTTTTTTCAATAGCATAATATAAAATTTTTCAATAGCATAATATAAATAAAAACAAAAAAATTATTAAAAAATGATAAACTAAAAAACTATATTTAGTTAAAAACGTTGCAGCAACAAAATAATCCCCATTATTCCCCATTTTTTATAGGAGAATAAAAAATCGACAGCTAGAAACAATTTAAGTAAAATAATTAAAAAAAAAAAAAAAAAACTACAAAAAAGTTGAATATTTATTGTATAATTCTTTCCTTGAGTAATTACTGTATAGTAATAAATAAATTACTAAAATTTACTTTTATCAGTGACAATATGAAGAACCCTGGTAACAAGAGTTTCTGCCCCAGTAGGGCAATTTTCTACAAGTCTAAGTAACTCAGGTGAATTCATACCAATTGCTCTAATCTATGTTAGATTGAAAAAGACAAATTATAAGCTAATTACTGTTAAAGAAATTTTTTTTGAGACTAAATAATTCTATATACATACATACAAACATACATGCATGTATGCATGCATGCAATCATATATACATACATACATACATACATACATACATACATACATACATACATACATACATACATACATACATACATACATACATACATACATACATACATACATACATACATTAAATGCACATGCATATAAACAAAATTAAATAAATATCCTTTTAAAAAAATCATGTACTTCAAATAAAAAAAATAAAAGATAACATACAGGATGTTCAAGATGTCTGAGAATCGTTCGTTTTATAACAGGAGAAGCATCTACATACACATCAGCTAAACTATAAAAACAATGTTAAATTTTTAAAATTGTGTTTCAAACATACATGACAGCATATATAAAATATGTCATATGCAATGTGTATTTTTTTTTTTTCAATGTGTTGCACGCAAAAAAATGTTTTTCTTTTTGTGCAATCCATTGCACAAATAAAGAACCTTGTCGTTGCACAAGGTTAAAAATTAAAAAGTGAAAAGTCTAAAAAGTTTTTAGCAAATTTCTCACTTTAAAAACATTACGTGGTTTGTAGGCAACAATGCTAAATAAAGGTATAAGTAGGCTTTAATAGAATCATCAGTCCACTCTGTTGAAGTAACTTCTAAATAAAAACAGCAGCAAGATATTAAAAAAAGATTTAAGCTACTGTAGTTAAAAATGAAATTATTAGTAAGGGAAAATTCAAAGTTTACCAAATGCTTCTTTATCATTTGGCAGTTCTTTAAGCGGAGGACGCTCCAGAAGTAGCTGTTGTAAACTGTGCAAAGCAAAATCCTAAAGATATTTTTTTAAATATCAATAAATTTAAATAAACCATGTTTAAGTGCTAAAACTAGATTTGGTATTACAGGGTTTCTGTTAATATTTTAAGGTGGATTTGCCTGATTTTCCCCTCATCCACTACCTGTTTTCCCTGATTTACTTAAAGTCAACTTCAAAAAAATCAGACGAATTCATTTAGAAAAAACTTCTTAAATAGCAAAAATGTAAACAATTATACAACCCACATTTGAAGTATTAAGATATGTTTATAAAACTATTTGCCAAATAAAATTTTATATTACGTGCACAATATAAATTAAATAAATTAATTAAATTATGTAGGTTTGATGATGAGTCATTTATTTGATTTCCTCCTGATTTTTCCAAAATTTAACCCAAATTTCTCTGATTATTCCCTGATTTTTTTGCAGATATCTGAATTCCCTGACTTTTCCCTGTTTACCTGATTTCCCTGATCTGCCAGACACCCTGTTTTTTATTATTACTTTTACTATTACCCACAATTTTGTCACAACCATTAGATATTAAGTGTTTTGAAATTATTTATCTTATTGATTACAAAAGGTCTGTAGCTGCACTTTCACTTTCACTTATGATAGATATTGATTACAAAAGGTCTGTAGCTGCACTTTCACTTTCACTTATGATAGATATTGATTACAAAAGGTCTGTAGCTGCATTTTCACTTATGATAGATAGACACTTTTTGTATCAGCTGAAATATAATGCAAAATGCTTTTTTTGCTAGGTGTCAATAATTTTATTACATGCCAATATTTTTTGAACTAATAATAACCAAATTGTGTTAACCAAGGGGCATGGAGGCTTCTTTTAAATTTCCACATAGCATTTAATTTTTATGGGGGAAAATGTCAAAACATCTTTTACTAGTTTTTGTTGTCTAATTTCCAACGTTTCTTCTTGAGTTCAATTTTTAATACATTCATTAGATTGTCAATACTCTGACAGTATACCAAATCCTAATATTATACCTAATCCAAAATCAATAACAGTACCATATATACTAGCGCTTATGCTTGGTATAGAACTTAAAATATTATAAGAAAATCAGAAACATTTACCCCAATCATAGCAGAGAATTCTGGTTTGCTGTGAAGCTTTTTTGCAGAATGAATGGCTTGGACTCGTACCTATGTTAAATTGAAAATGTCAAAAATAATTTGAAACATTTTTTTAAAACAATGATTATCGTTTTTTTAAGTACCTGTTCCCTTTCAGCAGTAGTTAGTTCTAGCAATAGTTGCAACCATTCTTGTGAGGCTGCTGGATTTTTGCTTATTAATTCTCTTAAAGTTGAAAATCCAACCATTAAACGATCCTAAATAATAATAAAAAAAAGATTCATTTACTATTAAACATATAATATTACAAGTATATATTAAGATGTAAAAAAATATGAAATAAGTTTAAAATAAGAAATATGAAACATTTGTGGATCCTTTTTCTTAAATTTACTATGTAAAGCATTAAGAAATTTAAGTTTGTTGAAATTCAATGCTTGTTGCCTCAAATATTTGAAAATGAATCCAAACAATATAAGGAGCATGAATGCTGAGGCGAAATAAAAATAAACAAATAGTGATAAAACACACAAAAAGTCCTAATAAATGAAAAAAAGTTAATTCTATCATCCAATATGCTTGAAATTGCATCATACAATATGCTTGAAAAACAGATGCCGTTAAAAACTGGTTTATAGAGGATCAGGGCTCACTAAAAATTTGAACCCCAGAGAATTTGAACCATAAACACAGTGTAGCTGCACTTACACATAAATGTAAAAGTTCTTGTAATGTGTACTAAAAATCATTAAAAACAATCATGGCAAAGCAAACTATTGATGGTAACCGTGGCAAAGCTAACTATTGATGGTAACTGTTATTTTTTGATTGTGCATAAAGCAAAAATGTATTTACTTAAATTTTAATTGTCTTAAGTATATTTATGATAATCATTTTTTAATCAAAACTATTATTAAATCTTACTGGATCCATGCAACAGTCTTTTATAATTCTTCTAACACCATCCGGGAGACAAGGAGCTTCCAAAATAAATCTTGTGAACAGTCTATTAAAAGATGTGTCATTTTAATTAAGTAAATACTTGTTTTAAACAATTCCATTTATAGATATAATCGCAAGGATAACATTACAAGTTCTATAAAAAGTTTTTAAATTATCGTACTTATCATAAACTATGTTAAATTATCATACTTATCTCTTGGCTCTAAATGTTTCTTCATCCCCTCTATAAGATTTCTTAGGCAAAGAGCATATCTTGAGTTGTGTTCCCGAGATTGACCAGGTGTCTGAGTCTCAGTATTTATATACTCTTGGTACAGCCATAATATTCCAAGATCAATTCGTGTTCGAAAATCTTCCATTACAAAATGAATAAGTACTAGATGTAAAAAATTATTCTTTAAAAGATTTGAAGGAAAACAAAAATCTTTGTAAAAAATTTCATTATTTGTAATTTTTTACAAAGATTTTAATAAACAATAGTTTAAAAAAATCAACAACTAAAAAAATGATTAGCTAAACATAACGAGTAATAATAATATAAAGCCTAAAACTTTTTAACTTAATAAAAAAACATAAAAATTTGAAATTCACAATGAAAAAAGATAAAGAAAACTAAATGGCCTTTTAAGATGTGCTTATTAAAAAATCAAATTTCTTTTCAAAACCAGTTTATCATGAAAAAATTTATATAAAAGTCTTTTACAAAATTTTAGTATTGTTCTCTCTTGCTACAAATTTGATTTTAGGTTTGATTGATCAAACATAAATGAATAATACTTGGCTGGGATTTGATAAAGACATAAAGAATCATTCTCTAGTTTTACAAAACAATCGATTTCCACAAAAAAATTATCATCTCTGAATTTAAATCATATATTGGTATGAAAAGGAATCCATCTGTTTCAAACTTTGTTAATAGCTTAAATATAAGATTTCATATATTAGAATTTACTCAAGTTGTGCAAAATTGAACTTGTCCAGTCAAAAATTAGAACTTGTCCAGTCAAAAATTAGAACTTGTCCAGTCAAAAATTAGAACTTGTCCAGTCAAAAAATAATTAGGATCATCTTTTATATCAGATTAATTTTGATTACAAATTTTCTTGCACTGCAAATTTATTTAAAAAGTGGCTGTAATGCCAGTTATATTGAAAAAAGCTCTAGACATTTAATAACCTTAAAACTGATAAAAAAAATGTTTATAAACATTTAAATACATTAATTAATTGAAAAAAATTGAGATTTTTTTGAGGTTTTGGATACAGCTAATGACCAATTTTGAATATAGCTAATAACCAAACATAAATTAAAAGTAAAAGAAGAGGTACACATGGAAACGTTAAATAAACGGGAAAACCCCTCTTGATAAACAAACAACTCATTAACTTATCTAATTAATTAAACTGCCAGTTAATTTTGATTTTAGCTATATTGATTGATTATTTACCGAATCATTTTTGTGATCATTTTATTGGTTTATCATGTATATGTATCATTTTATTGGTTTATTTTGTGATTTATATTTTTTTTGAGACTAAATAATTCTATATACATACATACAAACCTACATGCATGTATGCATGCATGCAATCATACATACATACATACATACATACATACATACATACATACATACATACATACATACATACATACATACATACATACATACATACATACATACATACATACATACATACATGCTAAAACTAGATTTGGTATTACAGGGTTTCTGTTAATATTTTAAGGTGGATTTAATGTATGTATGTATGTGGCAGGTGTCTGCCAGACACCCTGTTTTTTATTATTACTTTTACTATTACCTACAATTTTGTCACAACCATTAGATATTAAGTGTTTTGAAATTATCTATCTTATTGATTACAAAAGGTCTGTAACTGCACTTTCAATTTCACTTATGATAGATATTGATTACAAAAGATCTGTAGCTGCGTTGCATTTTCACTTATGATAGATAGACACTTTTTGTATCAGCTGAAATATAATGCAAAATGCTTTTTTTGCTAGGTGTCAATAATTTTATTACATGCCAATATTTTTTGAACCAATAATAACCCCACTCACATATAAAACAGGGAAATTTGAAAATTGTGTTAACCAAGGGGCATGGAGGCTTCTTTTAAATTTCCACATAGCATTTAATTTTTATGGGGAAAAATGTCAAAACATCTTTTACTAGTTTTTGTTGTCTAATTTCCAATGTTTCTTCTTGAGTTCAATTTTTAATTCATTTATTAGGTTGTCAATACTCTGACAGTATACCAAATCCTAATATTATACCTAATCCAAAATCAATAACAGTACCATATATACTAGTGCTTATGCTTGATATAGAACTTAAAATATTATGAGAAAATCAGAAACATTTACCCCAATCATAGCAGAGAATTCTGATTTTAGCTATATTGATTGATTATTTACCGAATCATTTTTGTGATCATTTTATTGGTTTATCATGTATATGTATCATTTTATTGGTTTATTTTGTGATCATGTTATTGGTTTATCATGTATATGTATCATTTTATTGGTTTATTTTGTGATCATTTTATTGGTTTATCATGTATATGTATCATTTTATTGGTTTATTTTGTAATCATTTTATTGGTTTATCATGTATATTGTATCATTTTATTGATTTATTTTGTGATCATTTTATTGGTTTATCATGTATATGTATCATTTTCTTGATTTATTTTGTGATCATTTTATTGGTTTATCATTTATATGTATCATTTTATTGGTTTATTTTGAGATCATTTTATTTGTTTATTTTGTTGGTTAATATTTTTCTGTAAAATCTTTTGAAAAGTCTTTTGAAAATGTAAGAATAAATTTATAAAACATGTCAAGAACAAAATATATTATGTTATTTTTAATTATTATATACTTACTATCAGTTAATTCGCCATAAAACTGCATCGCTAGCCCAACAAGAATTTTATTTCTTTCCTATAAGTTGAAAAAAAAAAACTTTTTTAGTTTAAAAAAATAAATATACTAATTCAATATACTAAACTTAATTTTTATAAGTAGCTTATGATTTAAAGTATTAATTTGACTTACCACTGTGCATCCTGAGACAACTGCCTGTTCTAAAAAAAAATACTTACATATATGTAACATGTAAAACTTAAAATTACATAAATTACTACTCTAATATTCTGTAATATATTGTAATAATAAATTACTACTCTAATATTCTGTAATATATTGTACTACTATAGCTAGTACTTTTTTATATAAATATGTTAATATTTTGTTTTTTTGTTTTTTTCACTACACTCATAGTTCTGCATATATCTCTAAAGTTTATAACTTTTTGGTACATTATTTGAATTTTTTTCTTTTTAACATGCATCATATATATAAAAAAAAATATATATATATATATATAATATATAATATATATATATATATTATAATATATATATATATAGCCTAAATTAAGTGAGCGTTTTTAGAAAACGATGAGGGAAAACGAAGAATAATGAATGAAAATGTTGCTGACCCATACCAAACCCTCAGTCAATGTAGCAGCACTCCACTGCGAGTCAGGATATTTGTCAGTCGATGTATGCACTGAAGCCCCTGGCAGCAGGCTATTTGACATTAGGTGAGTATGACATCATCATGCTCACCTAACTCAGCAGTATAAGATATATATATATATATATATATATATATATATATATATATATATATATATATATATATATATATATATATATATATATATATATATATATATAATTATAAACTTTAGAAATATATGCAGAACTATGAGTATAGTGAAAAAAACAAAAAAACAAAATATTAATATATTTATATAAAACAGTACTAGCTATAGTAGTACAATATATTACAGAATATTAGAGTAGTATACTGCAAACATAGTAGTACAGTATTGTATTGACCTAGTAGCTGCAGAATTAAAATATAGAACAGTATAGGGTAGAGCGCAATTAACTGCAGAAGAACAATATAGTGTAGAGTGTGATTAACTGCAAGTAATAGTATTAATATAGTGTAGTATAGAGCAATAGTAACTTTAGAAAAACAATATAGTATTTCCTAAACATTGGAAATATATACCTCTTTGAGGTATACTTATTAACTGCTTCTAGAATTTTTTTTAACTAGCTATTCGCTACGTTTTAGAGTAAAGCAGAAAATTTCAAAGTATAGAATAAATGTATTTGCAACCAAACTTAAACATTGTAATTGAATACAAGACATGTCAATATATTAAAGTAGAAAAAATTGATTTCTTCAGAAT